AAATAAAAGAAACTATAGTTGGTATACCAAGGTTTAGAGATCGTGTCTCACTGTTAAAAATAAAATTACACTCAAATTTATAGACAATCAGATAACCGTTTAACTGATCTACTAACTCATTTCAATGATACCATTTATTTTGGTGTAGGCTTATGATTTTGAAATTTCATTAAAGAATGATAAACTAGCGTATTAATAACTTCACAACAGCGAAATGTGTAAAAACCTAAGTGCCACTCGAACGATAATGAACAGGAACCGTTGAATTTTCGACGGACACTTAAACATATCATTTATTAACAGGTCAAAATAATAATTAACTATTCTAAAATTTTGTATAATAAAAATCACGAACATCTAAAAATGTTAATGGTAGTACTGTACTACAAACTGCTACTCGTGTCTTCTAATGCGGTGTATCGTATTAATCTTACAAAATAATTGTTGCTGAATAGTTCACAAACGTTGCGGGCGATGATTACCAATGTCAATCTTCATAAATAGAAGATAGATTGAATCGATAGTAAATTAGACCATTTGGTGAACTCAATTAGAAAGTTGAGTAGCCGTTGGGTTGTGTTTCAATTTACCTTAATTCAATTTGAAAGTCGCGTTATGTTGACCTCTGCCGCTGGTTACATATAAAGCAGCAAACCAAAGTACCGTGAACGTAAATGCCTCAAATTCGAGTGTAAATCTGTTTTTTAATATTTTTGTTATACTATTGGGGATGCAACATGCAAGTTAGAAGAAATTTGCAGGCATGAGACTTCTCAACATTCCTCCACCTGGGTATGGGGCTCGATCCTCCCCGAGGAAATTATATTTCAGGCCGTCCACACGTGCCTCTTCACACTGGCATAAACTGGGACGGTTTCTTTATTTGTGGTCTTGTCAGGCAGCGCTTTCAAAATACGACATATTCACAGTGATGCAGCTAGTTACATAGGCCTACATGTAGTTACAATGATATTTTGAATAATGATAATAATAAGAAGATCGGCTACAAAGGTCACAATTAGTATGCATATATTTAATAATATGGGCAAATGCATGAGTCTCACCCCGATTGCATGATACTTGGTACAGAAGGTCTGCCTTTTATAGAACCAGGCCTACTTCATCGTTGGTTTTTTTTATTGACAACACTAATTATGTACATACATTGATATTATTTATAAGAAAACAATAGTTGGACTTAATAAAGAACATATAGGTAGATACATTAAGAGCAGTATGATGCAATTATCGATCAATCAATCAATATGATCAATTAGTGAATTTTGCATTACGCCAGATATTCCGAAAAAATAATCTGCTCAGTTGAAATGACCTATTTAAAATAATGACCAAACATTGTAGTACTATATTCTGTACAAGAATTGTGTAATATGTAAAAAAAAATATCAATATGTCGAGCGTTTGCATGAGAGATATTCATGTTTCTTGCCTTGAAGTCCCCCTTAGATAGCTTTCTGCTCTTCGAAACCCTCGCATGGAAGTATGGGACGGGATAATTAAGGGACAATGTATCCGTTAATATGCCGGCAGCCGCAGATTGCTATGGCCCAGCCAAAATTTACAATTTCAATAATGGGATAGACAAAAAAGGAAAATGTATACTTTAATCTTCAGCTTAATCGGAAATATGTGGTGGAACCTACATTTTATGCGTACAATATCATTGTATATTTTCATAAAATACCCCAACCGTGAGTGTATCTTGTTTGAAATTGACTCTTTTTCATACAACGCTGTAATCTGGTACAGTAATACGAAACAGCTTAAATAATTGGAGAAAGTGATGTGGATTAAATAGTCAAAAAAATAAATCTTAATTCAACGAATAACCATCGGCGACATTTTCCATTTGACCACAATTTATGGCCACAATCAATAGTTTGACCATTGAAATGTTTAAACAATAATACAAGTATTGATTGCATCGCAAGAAGATTCCAAATTACGTGCTCCATGTATATACAGTATCTGGAAATGTGTATGATGAAATGGATATCATTGAATCGTTTGCTTATTTATCAAAGGTGAAGCTCAATTATACGTGCATTGGCTTGAAAACAAGCATTGATTTAATTTTGGGTTAAACGTCTGCTTGACGCAAACTTAATTCGATATGGGGTACTTGTACTATACCGCGCGCACTACCGGGTCTCTGTCAAGTGTCATAAAACGAAGACCGCGAAGACCCAAGACCCAAAAACGAATACCTTTATTTCTTCTCTTTCATTTTGAGGATAATACGCCAGGCTGTCACAAAATCAAATAACGAAATTTTTTGTGCGTCTGTTTGTGAAATTTTCAAGGGTCTTCGTTTTATAGACACCTTATATGGGTGTCAACAAAACGAAGACCGAAGACCCGAAAAACGAAGACCTCCAATTATTTCTCAATTATCTTATTGAAAGTCAAAATCATCATAAAACAGTTGCCAAGTACCTATTTCATTATTTCATCGGAATGAGCAAATTAAAGGTTATTTATTTTAAAAGTAAAGAATGCTTTGGAAATAAGGTGTTTACATATATTATGACTGGCTGAGTCAAGATTAGCATGCACATTAATCCGTTTGGGTTATATACTTCATAATTAGTTTTGATGTACTAAAATACCAAGGTAAGGTCTTCGTCTATAAATACAGTACATGTTTATGTTAACTATTATATGTATGTACTATAGAGTAAAGAACACGATTTGGGATTCTTACGATCATACGGTTACCGTTAATCAATTAGGTAAGTATAATTAAATGGATAATTGATTAAAAAATACTCAATAAATTGAAAAAATAATACTTTGATAAAATTTAAAAATTTAAGCTATTTTTTTTATCAGAATAATCTATAAATACCGGCCTAACGTTTGAAATACTCATATGGTTGAAATTTATAATTCATAACGTGAGTGAATAGCACCTCCTATATGGGTGTGTAAAGTTCAGTATTGTAGTTTCTATGTCCGAAAGTTGTATTCTGATGTACCGTCATTCCGCCTATTCAGATTCAGATTTCTTTTTTTTTTTGTCCGAAAGGAAATTACAGTAGGTGCAAGTATGCATTAAAACGGTAAACTAAATGTTTTGTAACCACTTTCAGGCCTATTCAACAAGCTTAAAAAGTTTACTGGCTGCTTTTAAAACTTCGTGTGGGGTGTGGTTTATAATAATGAATTATGATAAATAACGCATGTAGTTTTTTTTCAGGTGATAGATTTTAACCTCTTACCTGATGGGAACCATCGATAGGGATCGTTTAAAGGATAAAGGATGAGTATTATCGTTTTATTATTTGGGGCGGGTGCAGGATTTGGCTGTAGGGTGTTCGTGAGAGTCCACAAAACCTCATCCAATCATGGTTGTCTGGAGGTGCGAAAATATGGACCTTTTATAGGTGCCCGGAAATTGCAATCTCACACCTTACAAATGTTACCAGTAATTCATATCAACAATGCAATACAATTATTTTTCTTAATACAACTTAGAGGGATGCGATCGAACTGTCTTCACCCTCCCCCTGCATCCTCCCCAGATTATAAATTTCATTTTACCTACTATCGGTATTCTTTCCAGCCAATATTTGTTTAACTATTTCTCTTTGCTTGATTTGCTTTTATTTGTAGCATACTCGTTTACGTTGTAATTCGCTTTTAGTTGGGGTTTATAATTTCAGCCATATATTCTCAATATATTATCATGTCTGCAAGTAACAATTCTGACATCGAAAAGTCTAGAACGACTCTGACTGAATAAGTTGAGGTCAAAGGTTTTTATGAGATCTATGGTTAGGGTGCTATATAACACGAATGAGGGCGCAGTCCAAATGTGTGAGATACTGGATGTCTATTAGGAATTTTTTAATCTTACGTAATAAGTATGTAATTCTTAAACCTGATAAAGGAAGTGGTGTTGCGATAATGAAGAAAACTGATTAAACTGTAGGATAGGCAGAATGTTGAGTTGCAGCTGGAACTTTGCACAAGTAAATTATAAAGCAGTTATTGTACAGTCACGAGCCAATTTCAGTATCATTCCATTGAGAGCATATAGGTCAGCTTCTTTATTAAGAACATTGCAGTAAAATGGTAAATGTAAAGGTATGGAATAACCTTTTACGCGCACGCGCAGCTTCAACTGGGCTGAATTGCTCACATATACGTGGACTAATGCTTCAACAACTTTCTTCCGATCATCCCCAAAGGCGGGCTTCCGCCTGTCCACAACAACAGGGACCAGATGGACCTATAAACAGGGCAACCCCTATTCTTCTCGAAGGATTGTGTAATTTCTCAATACAGTAATCTGAACTGAATGCTTGGAGACCTCTTTATTCAAACTTGCATTAAAAAACAGAATGCATAATGATATAAAGTAGGCCGATTTTGTGCGTTTTGTTATATTTCATTCTATTTGTTAATATTAGGGAAGATTCCCTTTTGTTAGATACCATCTCATTTGGGAAAAATAAAGATTATGATTATTATACAAAACGGATATACTGTTACCATTCTTGAGTTCTGTTTGTATTTTGGTTTTTTTTCTTCACCACGATGTACGTTATATTATTGTGACCAGTATTCTCACACCAACATTCATCATCAATCAATCAATCTATCATTGGATTTATGAGACGCATCATCAAAATCTTAATCATCATGATGATATAATTATTATAGCAATAAAATTTAGGCATACTTCTATTTCGTAATTGTAATTGAATGTAATTCGGTTAAATACTGTAATATAAATAGACCTTTCCGGAGTGTCAATCAAACTTATCAACTGACTAATCAGAACAGCGCTAGGGATACGCGTGCGTCTCACAAACACACGTGTTGTCCCACAAACGCACGTGTTCGCGTATGTTTTAACATTGTCGTCTTGTGGGACCTTAGCAACAATATCCAAGGGGTGGGGCTTAGCGGAAAGGTCCATTAAAGATTAATGTTCTAATGTAGCAAAATATTGTGCTCACTCAATAAATGAAAAGAAACAAATGATCAGAAATTCATATTTAATCAGATTATGTCGAAAATTGAATTGATAGAAATATTTTATCTTCAAGTGAATCAACATTTTTTTTGTTTAGCTGGAATTATGAAAAAAAAAATCATGGGATGGGAATCAAATTTTAACATCAATGTATTTTACCAGCATGAAGGTGTATTTTATAACTTCATGGTGTTATTACATTTATTATTTATATAAGAAACAAAATTAAAAAACACACTTGAGAAATAATATTTTTTTCAATTGCCGTTAAACAGCTGATTAATAAATCCATTACAATTTAAAAATATGATTGCAGTTCACCCGCTCGACGAATATCTGTGGTCCAACAATGGAAACCGCCACCAAGCGAGTTTGCGAAGCGCAAATTTACCAGGATACATTCAATGCCCAGACTTCGAAACATCTTTTGCGTCGGTATCTCATTAGCATCCACTACTACTCGCTTCGGATCTAGCATCAAGACATTCATCGACAACCATTTAGATGACATCCAAAGTGGGTGATCTGAAATAAGTAGTAGAAGGAAATATTTAATGAATGAATATACTTATAACACTCTTCCACACAATTTTCAGCCTCCGACTCAGATCATTAGGCCTACTGTAGATATGATTGTTGATTTTGTGGTTAAGTGTGTGAGGGATTTAATCACTAAATCATATCCATGTCCATCGTTTCTCAGTAGTTTCTTCACGTTTTTATTCATTTTTTTTTATTTTATATTTTTTTATTGGCACTGAACGTGTAATGTGGTGTTCATATAAATTTATCTTTAAATCTTGTCGAGTAATTACATTTTCTGTTTATATGTTACGTATTACAGATATTAAAGTTTCTTGAACCTTGAATCTAACGACAAACAAGACAAGACTCTGCCCTATTCATTACTAGTCGTTAGTTTTAAAACGTTGTTACAATGAGAGTATTGACACGCCAAAAACTATATTTAAAAAAAAAACAGGAAGTTGATATATTTTGAATTTTGAATTGAAATGTTCATAAAATAGGCATCACAGAGTTAAATGAATGTAAAATGCATGAGTATTGATCAGTATGTGTTTTTATTTATTTATTTTATTTTATATTTTATTCAGGTATAAAAACATACAAAACAGTCAGCAGCACAAGTCAAGATTTACAATTAAACAATAATTATATTAAAACAAAATTGACACACATGAATCAAAAGTATTTTTACCCAAAAAGAACGAAATTCAAATATTATCTAATGAAATTACACTTATATTAGTACTGCAATTATAAAATTAATTTGTATAAAAAACTAAATTCGCTAATGATCACACACGCAGTATTTTTGTGCCTATTTTTTATGAGTTAAAAGTAGCAAAAAAAAAAAAAAAAATATGTAAAGCAGCAGACGCCCTCCCACTGGGGAGTTTTTTTTTTTTTTTTTTTTTTAATACTTACTGTCTGGCATGATGGGTGTGGGAGGTTTAATAACGGTCCAACCAGATTTCTTGAAAAAATCAATCTGATGGCATGGACGGTCCGGGTTAGACAGCACTAGACCTGGTCCAATGATATTAAAAGTTGCATCAATATGCATTGGATTAGGATCGTCAAAGGACAACGTGTGCACGTTGTATTCATCTCCTAGGTGGCGCTGTAGCCATTCAATGCCCATTAGGTTTGTAACCTACAAGAAAATAAAATACCACTGTTTGCAATGCATTATTATAACAAATCAGTAACCTAAAAGACTATTTTAAAATTCATTTGGTTTCAAAATAACTTCACTGTCATTCCATTGCACTACAATTTAGCAATAATTATCGTTCTGAATTGTTAAAATCTAATCAATGACTTACGATTTTATGTTGTTTTATAGGTCTATGTGTTGAGGATCTCAAATGTTCAGATTGATTTGGTGGGAGGACCAGACCACTTAAAAAATGTTTAAAAACGTATAAGTCAATCAATATGATTATAAAAAAAAAATTACCTGACTTCTTTGGGCGAAGATATCCCGGCCAGCCCTAATGAAGTCAGCTGCGTCGAAGCAAGGCTCAAACTCGGTGGTCACAAACTTGCCCACTGCCGCCAGCTGATGTCTATCCTCGACTGATTTCACTGGGTAATCCTATCAAAACCAAGTGAGAAAAACAAGTTCATATCTATCATGTAACTAGTGAGTGTACTTGTTGCTAGATATAAAATAATTGATAATAATCATTTAATAATAATATAAATAGATACATATTGTAATCAAGTACGGAATAGTGAATGATAGGCTAATAACAATAATAATATAAACAACAATAACAAAAACAGAAATATGAGCATCTAGTATTAAGAATTCTAGGAATAAACTATGGAAAATGATATAAGAATAAATAAAATAATAGTTAACTATAATTAATATTATCATTGTCATTTCATTGACAGAAAAGTACAATAATACTGAGCACTATCAAATTCGAAACACCTCTAATCCCGAGACTCCTCTAATTCATACACATTGACAGGGGTGAATACATAACATTTTTGGCGGAGCAGTGGTGAGGGGGTGATAGGGGCGCAAAGGTGAAGCTAACGACTGTATGATTAAGTGAGGGGGATAGCTCACACTAATAAGGTGAGGTGATTTTTAACTACTTAAGTGTGATTTTTGCTTTGAACACCATCAACGTGCGCCACCCCCCCCCCCCTGCACTTCCCTAGATACGCCACTGTGGCGGAAGTAATAAATAAAACTGTTATTAAAACTGTTCATACCTGATCATAAAGTTCATCACTCATCTGGGGCTTGGGAGCAGTGGTCCATTTGGCGCCATTTCTAAAGTACTCTTTCAATAGAGGGCGATATGCACGGTATTCAAAGAAGCGAGATCGCCACGCCATTGGACTTTCAATAATCTCCTCGCCTACAACGAGCAGGATATCCCTCGGCATGGCTGCATACATACCTGTAAAATAACATTTTCATTCTTAGGCGAATCGTTGTTTCATGAGCTCACTGACTGACCATAAATAATATAGATTTTGAAAATAATAATTTTTGGCCTTTAAAGTTGTCCAAAATAAGAATAATGCATTGCTTGAATCGAACAAATACCGTAAACCTCGAATAAAAGCCCGATGTTGTTAATTTCGAGAAGCCCATCTCAAAAAAGCTCCCATCTGCAGTTTGTAAAAGCAATCTCGAAAAGAATCCCATCTTGAAAAGAAGCCCATTAGTTTCTAATCAAGATAGTATTGGCTTCTTATCGAGATAATTCTGATTGGCGTTATCTTTGATGATTATGATAACTTGTCAGTGTAAATATTATTTTATTGTAGCATAGTTAAAATAATTCCTGCACAATTATCATAATCGAGACTACTGGGTTTGGTAAACAGGATTTCGTGCATGCATTCAGTTTTAGAAGCTGTTTAAATGAGAACGTGTATATTTTTAACAAGGCTAGTTTGAAGCAAACTTCGGCTATATATAAATTCATTAGAAAATTGAAAATGTTTAATATAATTAATATAAGTTACAAATGTACACATGTTTAATGAATTAACATCGCGTATATTTGTTATTTTATAGTAATAATGAAATCAACCTGATTTATTATATAATTTGTATGTATATATTTATTATTCTAACAGATTGTCGTCGGTATATTTTGATCATCATTATAGACCTATTGAAAAAGGTATATAT